TATGCAAGAATAACAACAACAATTTAATAACAGAGAATAAAAAACCTTTTGAGACAGCTCAAGAATTAAGAGATGAATATCAAGTACCATCGTTTGAGGAATTTATGAAAACTTATGAGAATGATGAGCAAGTAAATGATAATTATGAACTAGAAATAGATAGTTATGGTGATATTGGAACACCAAAAGGGTATGGTCCTGGACCAAATCAGTCGATTCCAATTTTCCCAGACCATGTTGATTGCGGTATAAGGGACATTATTAATAATCCAATTAGAAGAGAGATGAACAAACAATTTGAGGAAAATCTTCTTCCGAAATATATAGATTCTATAAAAAATAATGCTCTCAAAAGTTCCAACAATTTTTCTATTAGTTACTCTTTCAAGCATGGAGTTAATAGTGAAAAATTTTTTTTCGAAGAAGCTGGAAGATATAGTAATTCTTGAAAAATAAGCAGTAGTTTAAAAGATTTATGGGATGAATATCGAAAATTAAGTAATGATGAAATTAGAGTAGTTAGACTTGTTTCAGGACATTATGGTATAGATAAAGTCCAACGAGAGGAGATTGAGAGGTGTTTAATAGAAGATATGGTAGGATTTGTAGAAATGGAAAGAAAAGGAAGAGTGGAATATGATGGTAGAGTTAGGGAATTTGACATTCGAAGAGAATAGAGTATTAGATGTTGACATAAAGTTAAAAAAATGTTTGTTCACGCTAGGAGGTTCTTGTGTTAAGTATGGAAATAATTAATAAAAATTACTCGTATTTAAAAAAGAACAGGCATTTTATAGGAATTATTGTAGTTTCGTTCATTATTTTTGTTTCTCTATTAGTTTATGGACTTTTTAAGAGGTGGAAGTTTTCTACTCCCAAAAGAGAGAGTGTGTTCTATGTTCTCTTTGCGATTTCTGGCTTTTTCTCTTTCTTCCTTGTTTGTTTTTGGATAAGATTTCTTCCGTTATAAGCAAAGAACAGGAACTAGAATTGAAAATCACAATGTTAATTAAAAGGGTTCAAAAATACAAGCACTTTTAGCCAGTCCAAAATCCCTTGGGCTGGCATGTTGTGCCAATAATTGAGGATTTATCTTGAATTATTAGTTTAAAAAAGCAGGAGAAAATTATTGTCTTTTTCGGTAAAGAAAAAAATAAAGAGTGCCGAGATGCTGACGAATATTCTCTTTTAATTCAATTTTGGGAGATTGTTTTTTTAGTTCTTCAATTATTTGTTGGCATTTTTCATGGGCTAGGTCAGGATGGGCTTTTTCCTTGCCGACCATAACCAAATTAACTTTTACCACAGTATTCTCTTCTAATCACTTTTGGACTTTTCCTAACTTAACTTTTAAATCGTTCTTTCCAATGTTAAAGGAAATACGAATTTCCTTACAAATATTTTCTTTTTTGTCTTTCTTTTTTTTGCTTAATTCAAAGATATATTTTTGATAATTAATTAACTTACAGACAGGGGGGGTTTTGGTCGGAGCAACACAAAAAAGGTCTAGACCAAGTTCTTTGGCTTGGTCTAATGCTTCTTGACGAGTAATAATTTTTTTTTCTTCTTTACTAGTAACTAACAAAACTTGCGAAAAGGGAATATTTTCGTTGAGAAATTGCAAATTCTCTGTTTTTTTATCTTTTAGAACCATGCTTTTTTTGGCGTTTTTTGTTATTTTTATAATCTGCTTTTTCTAGATATTTTTTTCGGTTCTCTTGACTTAGTAGGAAGCCAATGTTTATTTTATTGTTCTCATGGTTCATAATTTACTCATTATATTATATTTTTTTCTGCTTTTAATTTATTAAATAATTCTTTTTCGGTTAACTCTTCTGTTTTTCTTTCTTGATAAGTATAAATCAATTTTAATATTTTTGCTTCTAACTCTTCTTTGCCAATTACTAAATAATAAGGGATTTTTTTTTTATATATTTGACGAATACGATAATCAAGGGATTTTTTTGGAGAAATAATTTTTACTCGCAAATCAATTTCATTTAACTTTTTTTCTAATTTTTCACAATATTTTTTTATTTTTTCTTCCTCGTTCAATGGTAAAATAACTAGTTGACAAGGAGTTAATCAAAAGGGTAATTTTCCATCTGTTTGTTCTAACAGCAGAGAAATAAAGCGCTGATAAGTGCCGATTGGGGATTGATGGATAATTACTGGAACTTGTAATTTTTGTTCTTTATCGATATAATTTAAGCCAAATTTTTGGGGTAAAACAAAATCGAGTTGAATAGTAGCCAGGGTAATGTTTTTACTGTCGGCAGCTTGTACTTCAATGTCTAATTTGGGACCATAAAAAGCCGCTTCCCCTTTCATAATTATATAGTCTAGTTCTAATTCTTGTAAGGAGTCAATTAAGAGAGTTTCGGAATAGTTTCATAAGTTCTTGTCAGGATGATATTTTTCCAAATTATTAGGGTCATGGAGGGCACAAACTAGGCGAGAAATCCGAAATTGAAAAATTGATAAAATACTGGCTATATAATGATAATTTTTTTTAAATTCCTCCTTTAGTTGTTCGTGAGAAACAAAAATGTGGTGGTCGACTAATTCCATTCAGCGAGCTCTTTCTAAACCTTTCAGTGCTCCCGAAGCTTCGTAACGAAACAAAAGAGAATTTTCGCACAAGCGGAACGGCAAATTACGGTAAGAGCGGGGTTTTTGTTGGTAAATAAGACAATGATGGGGGCAAGTCATCGGCCGCAAATAAAAAGTCTCATTATTGCGGTTAATTTCGGGAAACATGCAGTCCTGATAATGAGCCAAATGACCGCTAGTTTGATATAATTTCTCACTGCCTAAAACCGGAGTAATTACCTCTCAAAAACCAAATTCTTGCTGCTTTTGTCGTAAAAGTTCTTGTATTTGATTACGAATAATTACTCAATTAGGCAGTAAGATTGGCAAGCCTTGCCCAGCTTGGTCATCCAGAATGTATAAATCTAATTCTTTGGCAATGATTCGATGGTCGGGGTTTTTTTCTTCCTGAAAAAGATTATTATTTTGATTCATTTATAACTAATAATTCAAGCCCAAGCCTCAATTATTAGGGAATTAATTGAACCTTTTCTGGAATTCCCTTCTTTGTCATTTTTATTTTACAATCTCGACAAATAAATTTTATATGTTTATAAGGAAATTTTTAGCAATTTAACTTGAAACCGAAACAGCCGAAAGGAAAGCTATGAAATTTCAAAGAAAGTGAAAATAAATCAGATAAGTTATGTTTCATTTACTATTTATTTGCTGTTTTAAAACTTTAATTAAGTCCGTGTCTGTTGGCTTAAATTATTTGACAAAAATTTTCTATTCCTTTCCTTTTTTTCGCAACTGATCCAGTCTCCAGATTACAATAATTAACAGGAAACCGCCACTAATTACTCAGGGCAAGTAAAAAAGGAACTTATTTTCTGACTGGGCTTGACTTGACTGCTTTAATTTGTCCAAATTCGCTTGTTTTTTTTCTAAATCTTGGTGCATTTTTTTCATTTCTTCTGACAGCTTCTTCTGTTTGGCTTTTTCAGTAGGATCTAATTTCTGATCAGCTAGTTTTTCCTCCACCTCTTTAATCTTCTTTTCCAACCGAGTTTTTTCTTTTTCGATTTTCTTAACTATCTCTTGCTCAGTCATGGTGTTTGGTTTAGGTGTTGGGGAAGGATTGTCTGGGCTTGGCAGTGGGTTTGGCGTCAGTGGGGAAGTGGGAGAAGGGACAGGAGGGTGGGGGGGGAGTTGATCATCCTTTTTCTTTCGCTCTTCTAATTTTTGCTCTGCTTCCTCTAATCTTCCTAAACAATCTTCGAAATAAAAATGGTATTTTTTAACAAATTCTTCGTTCTCTTTTTTTAAGCGTTCTTTTGATTTTTCAGATTTCTTACGTTCTCCATCTTTATATTTAATCAAAGTTTTGAACTGGCTATTAAATTCAATTATGTCGGTCATTATTTTTAGACTTTCGGCATTCATGTAGGAAAGTAAATTAGAAAAGCGTTCTCCATCCTTTTCTCATTCTTCAAATTTTTCTTTTTTAGCCAATAGTGACGGTAAATCCAGGGGCTTAGTGGCGTCATAATATCCTCCTGCTCGGCAATGTTCTTCTAGCCGATTTTTTATCTGGTCCATTCATTCATTTAAGGATAAACCTCCCAATTTTCTTCTTTTTTTAGTTTTGTTGACTTTTGGCCCGTTTTCTAAATTGTATAATCCTGTAATAAGTGCCTCAATGTTTCCTTTTTTCGTAAATTCAACTTCACTTTTTATTAATTTTTCAATACAAAGGTCGGAGGTTGATAAACTACCGAATCCTGTTATTCATAGAATCATGCGTTCTTTTCGTCCGTACAATATTGCGGTGGTGGCAACAGCTTGAAACTCTTGACTTCATTTTTCCATTTCTTGTTTAGTGATTTTTTTAGTATTAT